GCGCAAGGCCCAAACATGGTATTCTGCCCAATTTAAAGAAATTCTTTCTAAAACATATAAGTAACATATAGTTTCAACAAAGTATGCAACTTTACAATTGCTATGGGACGGACTAAGTCACAATTTCCAACAGTGCACGCCCACATGCCCGTCACCTAGCATGTGCGTCACTAAAAATAGTAGAATGATACAAAATCCGGGGTTTCGTACCCTCAGAACGAGATTTACAATCTTTACTTACCCCAAACCGGTCAAATCTCTACCCCACAATGCTCTTGCCTCTGGACTTGGCCTCCAAATGCTCCGAATCTATTCACAACTAGTACAATACCATCAATACGTGCAAATGGAATGAATTCCATAAGAAAAACTACAAAATTAGACCAAAACCCAAAATTGGCTCAAACCCGCCCCCCGGGCCCACGTCTTAAAATCATACAAAATTCATAAAACTAGAAAGCTCATTCACTCACGAACCTAACCATACCAAATTCATCAAAATCCGACATCGTTTGGTCCTTCAAATTCTTAAATTACTCTCCAAATATTTCAAGCCCTAACCCCTCATTTTTACTAATTACAATGATTAAACAATGAAAAATCACTATATATACGAGTATTAGGGCTCAAGCAACTTACCTCACTGATAGCCCTTGAATCACCCTTCAAATATCCCTACAAAAGCTCCAAAAACCGACTTGAAAATGGTGGAAATGAACCAAATTCGCGAAGGGTTCTATTTATGGTTTCTGCCCAGGTTTTACGCACCTGCGGAAACTTTCACGCTTCAGCGCCACCGCACCTGCGGAAAAATACATTGCAGGTGCGGAAATCACTTAGGATCCCAGCTTCAGCATCTGCGGCCCAAAACCCCGCGCCTGCGAAGACGCACCTGCGCGTTTCCTTCGCTACTGCGAAGCCTACCCAACATCCCCCTTTCCGCATCTGCGCCCCAGGTTTTGCACCTGCGGGCTCGCAGATGCGACCTCCAACTCGCACGTGCGCAACCTGCCTAGCCTAGCATTGCCCGCACCTACACACTCCCCACGCGCACTAGCGGCCTTGCACCTGCTACTCTTTCTTCCGCAGGTGCAAAAATAGCAGTAGCAGCAGCTTCAGCTGCATTTTCCAACTTTGACAAATCCGTTAACCACCCGGAATCACCCCGAAGCACTCGGGACCTCAACCAAAAATACCAACAAGTCATATATCAACATACCAACTTAGTCGAACCTTCAAATCACTCAAAACAACATCAAATCATCAAATTACCCTCGGATTCAAGCCTAAGAACTTCTAAATTTCCAAATTCGGCAACTGATGCCGAAACCTACCAAACCACGTCTGAATAACCTCAATTTTTTCACACACATAAAAAATGACACTACGAACCTACTCCAACTTCCGGAATTCCATTCTGACCCTGATATCAAAGTTTCCACTGCCGACCGAAATCGCCAAATTTCCAATTTCGCCAATTCAAGCCTAATTCTACCACGGACCTCCAAATCACATTCCGGACGCATTACTATGTCCAAAATCACCTAACGAAGCTAACAAAACCATCAGAATTTAAATCCGAGATCGTTTACACATAGGTCAACATCCGATTGATTTTTCCAACTTAAGTTTCTACTTAAGAGATTAAGTACCTCAATTCACTCTGAAACCACTCCGGTCCCTAACCAAATAACTCGATATAACATAATATAGATGAATAACACAAAAAGAAGTAGAAATGGTGAAAATGGGGCTATATTCTCGAAACGACCGGCCGGGTCGTTACATCTCCACTTCCTAGTTGATGATATTTTAGACATAGGGTCTTCATTCCCTAGTCTCTTTTCCAACATAGGGACTCCACTCCATAGTTGAAGTTATTTTAGATATAGGGTCTCCACTCCCTAGTCTATTTTCCAACATAGGGTCTCTACTCCCTAGTTGATGTTTAATTTAGACATAGGGTCTTCACTTCCTAGTTGATTTTATTTTAGACATAGGGTCTCCACTCCCTAATCTCTTTTCCAACATAGGGTCTCCACTTCCTAGTTGATGTCTATTTTAGACATAGGGTCTCCACTCCCTAATCTCTTTTCCAACATAGGGTCTCCACTTCCTAGTTGATGTTTATTTTAGACATAGGGTCTCCACTCCCTAGGCTCTTTTCCAATATAGGGTCTCCACTCCCTAGTTGATGTTTTTTTAGACATAGGGTCTCCACTCCCTAGTCGATTTTCTGAACATAGGGCCTCCACTCCCTAGTTGACTTTATTTTAGACATAGGGTCTCCACTCATTAGTCGCTTTTCCAATATAGGGTCTCCACTCCCTAGTTGATGTTTTTTTAGACATAGGGTCTCCACTCATTAGTCGCTTTTCCAATATAGGGTCTCAATTCCTTAGTTGACTTTGTTTTAGACATAGGGTTTCCACCCCCTAGTTGCTTTACCCAACAAAGGGCCTCCACACCCTAGTTGACGTTATTGTAGACAAAGGGTCTCCACTCCATAATCGCTTTTCCAACATAGGGTCTCCACTCCCTAGTTGATTTTATTTTAGATATAGGGTCTCCACTCTCTAGTCGCTTTTCTAACATAGGGTCTCCACTCCCTAGTTCATTTTATTTTAGACATAGGGTCTCCACTCCCTAGTCACTTTTCCAACATAGGGTCTCCACTCCATAGTTGAAGTCATTTTAGACATAGGGTCTCCACTTCCTAGTTGATGTTTATTTTAGACATAGGGTCTCCACTCCCTAGTCTCTTTTCCAACATAGGGTCTCCACTCCCTAGTTGATTTATTTTAGACATAGGGTCTCCTCTCCCTAGTCTCTTTTCCAACATAGGGTCTCCATTCCCTGGTTGATGTTTATTTTAGACATAGGGTCTCCACTCCCTAGTCTCTTTTCCATTATAGGGTCTCCACTCTCTAGTTGACTTTGTTTTAGACATTGGGTCTCCACTTCCTAGTCGCTTTTCCCAACATAGGGTCTCCACTCCCTAGTTGACTTTATTTTAGACATAGGGTCTCCACTCCCTAGTTGCTTTTCTAACATAGGGTCTCCATTCCCTAGTTGAATTTATTTTAGACATAGGATCTCCATCCCCTAGTTGCTTTTCCCAACATAGGGTCTCCACTCCCTAGTTGACTTTATTTTAGACATAGGGTCTCCACTCCCTAGTTGCTTTTCTAACATAGGGTCTCCATTCCCTAGTTGAATTTATTTTAGACATAGGATCTCCATCCCCTAGTTGCTTTTCCCAACATAGGGTCTCCACTCCCTAGTTGACTTTATTTTAGACATAGGGTCTCCACTCCCTAGTTGCTTTTCTAACATAGGGTCTCCATTCCCTAGTTGAATTTATTTTAGACATAGGATCTCCATCCCCTAGTTGCTTTTCCCAACATAGGGTCTCCACTCCCTAGTTGATATTTATTTTAGATATAGGGTCTCCACTCCCTAATCGCTCTTCCAACATAGGGTCTCCACTCCCTAGTTGATATTTATTTTAGATATAGGGTCTCCACTCCCTAATCGCTCTTCCAACATAGGGTCTCCACTCCCTAGTTGATTTTATTTTAGACATAAGATTTCCACTCCCTAGTCACTTTTCCAATATAGGGTCTCCACTCCCTAGTTGATGATATTTTAGATATATGGTCTCCACTCTCTAGTCTCTTTTCCAACATAGGGTCTCCACTCCCTAATTGATGATATTTTAGACATAGGGTCTCCACTCCCTAATTGATGATATTTTAGACATAGGGTCTCCACTCCCTTAGTCTTGTTTCCAACATAGGGTCTCCACTCTCTAGTTGATGATATTTTAGACATAGGGTCTCCACTCCCTAGTCGCTTTTCCAATATAGGGTCTCGACTCTCTAGTTGATTTTATTTTAGACACAGGGTCTCCACTCCCTAGTATCATTTTCCAATATAGGGTTTTCACTCCCTAGTTGACGTTATTTTAGGTATAGTGTCTCCAGTCCCTATTCTCGTTTTCCAATATAGTGTTTCCACTCCCTAGTTGAGGTACCATTTTGAAAATCAGGGTACACCATTCCTAATGAATCATGTTTTCTCCGGGTACACCATTCTCGACCCTTTTTATCGTTTTCAATAATGATGTAGTATAGATTTTTGTTACAAATAACTCACAAAATTTTCCTAGTGAAAATTGGGGAAGAAAAAAATTTGTTCGTTTGTTTGTTTTGATGTCTAAGCAGGTTTTCCCCCGAGGCACAAGTTTCGAGTTGACCAGAAGAAAAAGTCTCAATCCAAAATAAGGAAAGAAAGTGAATCCAAAATGCAGAAGCAAATGAAATATGTGAACTGCTCAAGACATGACTGAAGTCACGAGTATCGTATTTCCTATTTTGATCAGAAAAGCCGTAGAAGAACGAACTAGAACCTGCAGCTAGCAATCATCAAGATTCAGATCAGAGTCTGCATGAAGAACCAGTCAAAACTCAAGATTAAGTTTCTGAAGACTTATAGATAGGAATCTTGTAACTCGTAACTTATAGGCTTATTTAGTTTCTTCTTCATTTTGACGTTGGTGTAATAAGGAGTTCAGCAAGCAGTTAAAATACCAAAAATACATTAGGCACTTTAATTGCATTTGTAAAATATTAAAATACCAAAAATACATTAGGCACTTTAGATGTATTATAAGTTAAATAAATTAGTTAATTGTTAGAAACATAGGTAAGTATGTTTAATTTTGCAAATTAGATTTGAGTTAGAATTTAATTTAGGATTTTAATTAATTTGGGTTAGAGTTTAAAAGCAAAACAAGAAGAAAGTAGGCTATTGGTTCTTTAATGTTGTTTGGGCCATTTGATTTGAGGCCCAAAATCCAAATTTGCCCGCCTCAGTTCACTTCACCCGGTCCAAACCATTCACCCCTGAGACCATTAAACGGCGTACTAAACCCAATACTACGTCGTTTTCCCTTCCCAATTCCCTTAAGAGATCAAAACCCCTTATTTCCCCTACACTCTAGGACAGAACCCAATCTCACCCCTTGACCCAAACAAACCCTAGCCGCCGCCTGATTGATAATCACTCTTTCTAACAAGAGACGCTAACTCTCACCTCTCTGGTTCATTGATATAGACACACATTGTTAAAGATAGAAAAATTGGCCTCCTAAATTTTTCTGAAATCCTAGAATTTTTGAGAGCCCCAGAAACAAAAACTGAGATTTCAGAGAAGATAGAGGGAGTAGTTAATTGCTAAGTTTCTACAGTTCAAGTTCCCCTTCTCTAAATTTACAAAAAGAAAAGGTTGTTCGAAGTTCAAAAGTGAAGCTGTTGGTTGTTGTTTGTTGCTGTTTGTACTGGAACTGCTAGCTGGGTTTGTTTCTTTGGATTCTCACCTTTACTTGGTTCAATTTCAGCCTGTTTTCTGCTAATAGGTATGTTCAGTCATCTCTGTTGCTCAACTTTGAAGTCAGGAATCAAATTCAAGTTGTTGTTTGGCAAATGTTGTAGATCTAACTAGTTTTAATATTTAAATTTGCCTGAATCCTTATCCTTTGCTAATTTTTGAAAACACTCATATAAAAATGGATTCCTGAGTCAGTTAATTGCTAACAAGCCACTTGATGTTTGTTTGATGACAATAGTTTAAAATCTTAAAAAATAAAGTTCATGCCAAGTGATGCTGACAGGATGATATCACTCTAACTTAGCTTGCCTGTTCATCTACTATCCATGGCTGATTTGATCTACAAGAATAGCCCAATGGCCATTTCATTGTAAATTGAGTATCGTTGGAAAGAATGAAAGCCATGCGACTGAGGTGCTGTTTCTATGTAGAAAATACAATGGAAGTGGAAGTAGTTTAAAACTGATAGATCATGCAATTCATGGTAATAGCTATTGTTAATTCATTGTAATTATGTGTTGAATAACTTTAGATTAAGAGTTGTGTTTAGTTCGTTTATTGGTGTATTGGCCGATTCTTTTGCCTTTTCGATATTATTGGGCTTGCCTTAAAAGCCCAAACTTTTTCTAGAGATACAAGGGGTGATTTCAGTGCTGCTTGATGAAAAGCTCACTATTCTAAGGGTATGATGCCTTGGGCTTCAATGCATATCTCTCCATATTTACTACATAGCCTGTTTGGGACTTGAAAATGAATGCTTGGCCCACACCCCAATTTGCTTTATGATTAATAAACAAACAAATAGCAAGAACTCCTTTAATCCATCGTCAACTACGGAAAACACGGCCTCTTCTTAATGTTACGAGTCCACTTTGCAATTCATTCATCAGGATTTGTACTCTTGATATAAGTTTTCACCAACTAATTTTGAAATAAGCCTTTGCGATTTAAATATAAGCATGCTTTGAATCAATAACTAAATTGATACTCTTTCCCAACAAATAAACTCCATAAATCTAGACCTCCACATGTAATCCCAAACCTTAGAAAAATTGATTATTAATCGAATATCGTAGTTTGCTTTAGGCGCGTGATTAAATCACCACGACAATGGGTACGGTTCCCGTGGCATAGTCGTGATACATAATTTTTCAATTCAGGTGTGTATTTCATGCGACTCGACTATAACTCCAATAATAATAATAAACATTTTGTTAATCGCGGGTACTTTTCATGTTACGCGGTTCGCAGTGTGTTCAAAAACAATAAGTGCGTGATATCGCGACATATTTAAATAAGTTCCATAAATATTAAAAGCGGTTTAGAAAGTTAAAAATGCACAATAGATTTTAAACATGTATTAAATCAGATAATTAGGCCAATTATTAATAGTTGAGCGACCTTGCTAAAATTACGGAACTCAGGAGTGCCTCACACCTTCTCCCGGGTTAACAGAATTCCTTACCCGGTCTTCTGTGTTCGCGGACCACAAAAATAGAGTCAAATTTCCTCGATTTGGGATTTAAAATAAATCGGTGACTTGGGACACCATAAATTATTCCAAATGGCGATTCTGAATTGAATAAAATAATCCCATTTTGAATAATATCACTTTAATTGGAAAAACTCCCCTATCCCTAGGGAAAAAGGAGGTGTGATATGCACAAATAGAAGAAAGCAATTTTAACAAAAAATGCTCCTTTTATGGGAAAAGAAGGAAAGAAGGGGCTCATCTAAGTGTGGTAGCCAGTCTTAGTGATAATGACATGAATTTTGGACTTAGCGGCCTGATCTTATTAAACTAGTCTAACCTTTCCTCTTGTCATTCCTTCGAACTTTGAAAACGAGCATCTTTATGCCAATAATTTGCATTAGACTCATGACTCACCTTCGACTAGTGGTGCCCCGAGGGGTTTTTACCAATAAGTTTCTCTCTTTATTTATCTATACCTACCATCTCCTTAAAGTGCTCGTGAAGGTTTTCACCAAAAAGACTCATTTTTTTTTTCTCTTTTATTTTGAATTTCTTGAGCAAGCGACAGGACTTTGTTCGTCATATGACAATCATTGCCCATTTCGTGCCATGCTTGGCCTTCTCGAAACTGATCACGAGGTCTTTATTTGGAAGGATTTTGGATATGGTTAGAAAGAAAGGGCAGCATGAAGGCTCAAAATAAACTCAATGTGATGGGTTGTACACTTACAACTCTTTCAAAAATATAAAAATAAAACTTATGCTCTAGTTTCAAATACTGGGAAGTTTTTTTTTATTGAGGTTGGGCTGAACCTTAGAGTAAGGTTCCTTTTAAAGGAATTAGGTCAAACGTAGTTCCTACATTTAACCTAATGATTTGTTGTTGTTTTTTCATCATTTTTTTTCTTTTTGCTTCTTTTTTCTTCTCCTTTTTTTGAGCTTTCTTTTTCTTTTTCCTTTTGGGGGAGCTATTTTGTACTTTTTTTTTTCTTTCGACTTGATTTTTCTAAAAGTTACCCCAGTTTGTACTTTTTGGGACATGGACTTTTTTTGAATCTAAACTTGATTGCTAGAGAGGGGGGTCAATGAAAATGACATAGGCTCAAAAGGAGTGACGAAGGATGTAAAGTGTTTGTATAGAGGAAAAAGGGCCTCCCAACCTCTAGAACGCCAACCATATATCTATTCGCAATCACAACGTTGATGGACATGTTTGCCTTCTTGGTCTTGTTTAGTGTAAAGTTATATGCGCAATACTTTATTTACAGTGAATGAACCTTGTCAATTTGAATCTAAACTTGATTGCTAGAGAGGGGGGTCAATGAAAATGACATAGGCTCAAAAGAAGTGACGAAGGATGTAAAGTGTTTGTATAGAGGAAAAAGGGCCTCCCAGCCTCTAGAACGCCAACCATATATCTATTCGCAATCACAACGTTGATGGACATGTTTGCCTTCTTGGTCTTGTTTAGTGTAAAGTTGTATGCGCAATACTTTATTTACAGTGAATGAACCTTGTCAATTTGAATCTAAACTTGATTGCTAGAGAGGGGGGTCAATGAAAATGACATAGGCTCAAAAGAAGTGACGAAGGATGTAAAGTGTTTGTATAGAGGAAAAAGGGCCTCCCAGCCTCTAGAACGCCAACCATATATCTATTCGCAATCACAACGTTGATGGACATGTTTGCCTTCTTGGTCTTGTTTAGTGTAAAGTTGTATGCGCAATACTTTATTTACAGTGAATAAACCTTGTCAATTTGGGCAACTTTTCCCTCTTGGTGTGGGAGAATGCATTTCCGCACTAACTGGTCCATTTCAAATTGTCTGGATTGCACCTTCTTTTGAAAGATACTTTCCATCCATTAGTGCTAAACTTTCGACAAGTTTCAACTCATTTTATATTATTAAGCTTGGTCTTCACAATGCTTTGGAGATATAGATCCTAAACCTCCATGGGTATGACCATTTGGTTCCATGTAAATCTGGTTCATGCTTACTTTTAAAGTATTTTCACTCTGTATTCATCCTCAAAAGTATCTTTATCTGAGTTATCCAATTCAAGACTAAATCAATTTTCTAAGATCATGCCAAAAATTTTGCATGCATATCATGTCACTTGAACAAGCAGAAAAAGAACTAAGCACAGAGTGACACAAAATGATAAAACGACAAACTAAATTTCATTGAATAACAAGATAGAAGAGTTTGACTCAAGATAAGTAAACTAAAATCTGAGTTAAAACCTTGAGATAACCCCAAATAAAGGAAATAATAACAAAACAAACAAACAAGACTCACAAAGGGACAAAATAAAAGGATACACGAGTTTGACTCAACAAAACAAACAAAATTTGGATCACAACCCTGAAATTACCTAGAATAGAAAAAATATCAAAACAAGCCACCAAGATTCCTTCCTAGAGAGGAGTGAATGACTTTCTAATTGCTAAGCTTGATATTTTAGCCACAAATTTTCTCATCAGCATCACTAGGACCTTCCCCAATTTCAATCTCATTAACTTTAGTGGGCAGGTTCTCGACCCCTTTGATCAACTCATCTTTGGCATTATTCGCTAGATTCAGGACTGATGACATATGATATTACTTGCCAGAGGTCTCAAGAGGATTCTCATACTCCATGTAACCATGTACCATCCCCATAAAATGTGCATCATCATGTGCAGGTAAAGGTTATGTATGATATTCGTGTGTCTGTTACGTCCAAACACATACGCAAGTATACATGATTATCAAGTAATAAAGTACTGAGTAGAGTATCGTTCCCACAGAGACTTATGATTAACGTTTTATTGATTCAAACTCAAACAACTTATCTATTCAAGAGATTTTTCTCAAAATGTGTAGGTAATTAATTAACAACCAAAGAAACTATTAAGTAGTTAAATAAACTAGAGATCGACTGAAACATGTAGTCAATTTCGGATAAAACTCAGTAGGAGAGGATATTCCAGGGTCATAGGCTAGCTAACAATCTTGTTTCTTTCTTTGCTTAAATTGACTAATTGATTTATCAGAGTTGTTGATTGACAGGGTTGATGTTACTCGAAAGAATTTGTCGAGCTCTTACTCGCCTATTCAAGTTAACTTAATACCTATATGTCTATGAAATTAAGACTAACAAGAACACATTTACACTTCCTATATTTCAACCAAGCAAGCCAATTAGGTATATTTCTATCCTAATTGCAAATCCGCTTCCCCATGCCCGGGTTCAAGAAGCTTGCTCTATTTAATCCTATATGCAATCTAGAATTCCCACTTTCGAGTTCAAATCTAGATTTGTAGGTAGTATTTCAATGTTAGCTACATGGCAAAAATAATTAAGAACATAATTAAATAAACAACCCAATGTGATAAAATCTCGTCAATTTAAACTTCAAACGTTGACATTTATGTATCAACCATGACCCCAGAATAATAAGTTTCTTAGCCACTCATGTTCATAACAATCATCAAAATATTATTTTCAAATATAAAAGCTATGAATACTAGAAGAAGAATGGAAGAATTGATGAATTCCGTACTCCCAAGTATTTCGTACTTTTGTTCCGCTCTCAAAGTAGCCTCCCCCCTTGGAAAAATAGGTTTAGGTTTGCTTTTATATGATTTGGGTGCGTCTTGGGGTCGAAAGAACCGAGTCTCGGGCAAACTAGGATAAATTCACATCAACAGTGCCTAGGGTAGCGTGGGACGCTAGCCCTGGCATTGGCCTTCTGAGGGTTTCTGTTTTGTGCGTCACAAGTAGCGCCCCACACTGCTTGTGGCGCTACACTATGACTTTTTCCCTTTTCTTCCCCTTTTTGCTTCAATTCGCGCACCTTCACCCAAAATTATCTCCGGATGATTCTTACACATAGAAATACCACAAATTAGCACTAATCATTATGTTACACATCCGAAATCTACGAGACATGAGTAAAATGCGAGGCAATATGCATAAAAATATACATACTTTAAGCCGAATATCAACACCCCACACTTAGACTCTTGCTCGTCCTTGAGCAATGGAACTATAACTACACCCCAAAACATATATCTCACTAGGAAAGAGCAATTCAAATT